CCTCCGCGACCCGACCCCGGATAAGCGGGAGAAGATGGATGGATTTGTACTTTCTCAAATCATAATTTCTCAGCTCATTCTTTCCTCCTTAAACCTCTTTCTTTCCAGCAAGTCAATATGAGGACAAAGAAGAACGTGAGTGCTGTTTGGACGGCATGAAAGATGTTCCTGTTTCATACAGCTGCGAGAGGCGCAGCGAGTACATCCTGGATGGTCTAGGCTGCATCAAGGCCTTCCTGAACTGCTGCAGGGAGATGGAAAGACAGCAGAATGAGAGGAGAGAGGACGCCCTGCACCTGGCTCGAAGTAAGAGACGCAGAAGATTCCTATAACTATTCAGATTGCTGCCTCTCTGAGATAAAATAGTAACCCTTTCTAATGGCTTCTTTAGCTGAGGTGGATGACGATTACACGGACAGCAGCGAAATTACCACTCGTACCACTTTCCCTGAAAGTTGGTTTTGGTATGAATACAAACTGGCTGAGTGCCAGAAAGGCACACCTCACTGGTAAGCATGGCGAGGCTCTAAAAACACCAAAATTTCTCTTCAAGTTTTAGGTTTTTTTGTGTTTTAAACTGACAACTGCCCTTTCTTCATTTCAGTGACCCCGTATCTATAGAGCGAAATGCTTCTTTGCCAGACTCAATCACAACCTGGCAGTTCACCGGCATCAGTATGTCAAGAACCCACGGTAAGGATTGTTTCTCTGCACAACTTACTTTTCTCTTTCTGTAGATGGACTTTGTTTTGGGAAGATACAGTAACAACAGCAGCATTTACAGCTTTATTCTGTCCCAGTTTTTTGTTTTATACATCAATGTTTGTCCCAACAATCCTTAGATGGTTTGAGCCTGCAAGTCCTACAGAAAAGTCACAACTCCATGAACGTATACACCACCGTCTTGTCCTCTTTCTTTTCCCTCTGCTTTGTGTTTGCTTTATCCTTTATGTTTAAGGTATCTGCGTGGCTGAGCCATTAGAAATCACTGTCCGGAAGAAATTCTTCATTGATCTCAGACTGCCGTACTCTGCTGTCCGTGGAGAGCAACTGGAAATTAAGGCAGTCCTCCACAATTACAGCCCTGAGCAAATCACCGTGAGTCAAAAACAGCAGTAAATATAGGATGGAAACACAGTGTGAGGCCAAAACGATAACAAAACTGACAGTTTACATGGTTTATATCCCCAATACCATCACTGTAAGTCTGAGTATTTTGCCCAAATGCTTTAGTATCAGGCTTGAAATATTGTGCAAAGGTGCTAGCATGGATGGAGATGGATAAAACAAACATATATCATCTACAGAAATAACTTCACAGAATAAATAGTTTCTGTCCATGACACAATGAGGGTTCTCCAAAGTGTCAACAATAAACTATCAAGGTGTTAAAGTGAAAGGAACCACTCATCTATGACATACAAGGTGTGTCAGAAAAGTACCAGTAAAGCACCCCTTCAGACGATCAACCAGCATGTCTACAGAGATCCCGCAGCGTTTGCTTCATTCAGTGCGCAAGAAGAGGTGAGAGTTGTGGCAGGACAAGTTGTGACTGCTTCACCGTGACAACGCGCCTGCTCACAATGTCCTGAGCATCCGACAGTTCCTGGCTGAGAAGAACATCGCTATGCTGGAGCAACCTCCCTATTCATCCCACCTGGCTCCGTGGGATTTTTTCCTCTTCCCCAAGCTCAAGGGGGTCATCAAGGGGACCCGTTTTGAAGACGTGGACGACATCAAGATGGCTGTGACAACGGAGCTGCAGAGGATCCTGGAAGAATCCTTCCAGGAGTGCATGGCGGCGTGACAGAGAAGGCTGGAGAAGTGTGTTAAACTCCAGGGGGATTACTTCAAAGGGGAAAAGTTGTAGTTTGTAGTTTGGATTTGAAATACATCTTTTGTGACACCAGTGCTAAAACTTTTCTGACACACCTCGTAGTATGGTTTTAGAAAAATTTGCTGGTATTTACAATAAAACTTTATGAAGAAGTGTAAAAAAAAAAAAAAAAAAGAGCAGGATTTGTCAGATTCTTGCTGCTTTGGCAATCCTCTTGGGTTCCACTACACACTGTTTCTGTGGCAGCACCATTTGTAGGATGAATGAATACAGGTGGATGGATTTGAGACGGCTGTTTTATAGCTTAAACATCAAGGGGACTCTTCTCATATCTATTTTATTGGGGACGAGCGTATCCAAAAGTTTCCATCAGAATCCCACATACTGATGATGATGTGGTAAAGATGGGTCATTTTCAGAATTAGTGCACCATTCATTGGCTGGATGTCCCTGGGAAACATACCGTCCTTTTTTTTACAGTCTTACTTTAATTTGTCAAAGTCTAAATGTCTGTCTCTTTTTTTTTTCGTCCACCTCTCCATCTAAATCCCCATCAAGGTGCGCGTGGATCTGAAGGAAGAGACCAATTTGTGCAGTGCGGCTTATAAGCGTGGGAAGTTTCGTCAGGAGGTCCAAGTTGGACCCCAAACCACACGAGCTGTACCATTCATCATAATCCCCATGAGGAATGGAAAATTCCCTATTGAGGTCAAAGCAGCAGTTAAAGAGTCATACCTCAATGATGGAATCAGAAAGATGCTTCTGGTGGTGGTAAGAGACAGACTCTTTATTAGTGTCAGAGCTTGGTATGCCATATTAGAGGTAATAGAAATGTTTGACCGGCAATAAAATAATGCATGTTTAAACTGCATTTACATTTCAGACCAGTAGCTGTCTGGCATGCATGTTCTGTGACTACTTGATGCCATATCTGATTCACTTGGCTCTGTTTTTGTGCAATTTTCTAATTAAACTAAAATAAAGATTAAGAAATATATTATTAAATATTGAAAATTCCAACATGCAAAACCTTGCATATTGTCACACAGCAGTGTCATCCATTCAAAGATGGTTTTTACTCCTTATGTGCCGTTGAACTGTTATTTTTCCAGTCTGAGGGCGTACTGATAAGATCCTCCAGAAATGTACCCCTTGACCCTGCAAATAAAGGTGTAGGTAAGTTTGCCAATGAAGCAGCAGCAGGTAGCTAAAAAGCGTAATATCTGCCTCTGTTTTTCTATCTGTGAATCCTCTAACTTGTGTCTTTTCTTAGGCGGTAAACAGGAAGAAACTATCAACAGTGAAATTCCTACAATGGATTTGGTTCCAGGCACACCCATGAGCACATTAATTTCTCTAACAGGTGAAGTCAAGATACTTATTTTACTCAAAGTGGAAGACTATCTTATATAAGAGCACAGTTTGTTTACATAAGATTGGTCAATGTAACTGATGATTGATTTAACAGCATCATCCATCAATCTACGCACACGTTGATACAAATGCAAAGAAACTGATTCACCCATTGCATTGCATCTGCATGTATGCTATATTTACTTTGTGCTGGCTTGTTATTAAAGGGTGATTTTGGGGGGGTATATTGTCACAGAGTGCCAGTAAAATCTTGTTTTGTATTCTTAGCTGGTACCAATTGAAGTCTTTCATTCATATTTCATAATCATAACTGGCCAACTCAGTGGTTTTCTTCGTCTACACAGGAAGAGAACATATGAATGATCTGTTTGATAACGCCATCAGTGGGAACTCTATGGGTACTCTGATCAGACAGCCTTACGGCTGTGGAGAGCAGAACATGATCCGTATGACCCTCCCCGTCATCGCAACCGTGTTTTTGGACAAAACCAACCAGTGGGAAACTGTCGGCTTTAGGAGACGGAATGATGCCCTCCAACACATAAAAACAGGTAGGCTCACACAAAATCCTCCTAAAACTGGTATCAAAGATTCAGTAGACAGTTCAATGGGGAGTTAGTAAAATGTTTGTGTGTGTCCAGGCTACACGACTCAGCTTACATTCCGTAAAAACGATGGGTCTTTCACTGTGCATCATGCTTACCAAAGCAGCACCTGGTGAGACATCCAGAAACTTGTGAACTCATGCATTATTGTTTCCACGTTCTCCTTTAACTCAGTTTATGTACGAATATATAAACAACCTGAGGCAAATGCAAAGCTACTCCACCATCTCTCCTCTCCTCTGTTAGGCTGACAGCCTATGTTACCAAGGTGTTCTCCATGGCCTATAATCTGGAGGCAACGCAAAGCAGCGTGATATGTGACGCCATCAAGTATCTCATTCTCAAAGCAAAGCAACCCGATGGCATGTTTGTAGAACTCGGATACGTGTACAGTCGAGGAATGATTGTGAGTGCACTGATTTCAGTAACATCAGTTAATAAACCTGGCTCCTAACAAAAACAACAAAATGACACATTTGTATATATGTGTGTGTGCTTTGTTAGGGTGATGTGCAGGGTTCAGACTCAGACGCCTCCATGACAGCCTTCTGCCTCATCGCCATGCAGGAGTCACGCACAATATGTTCTTCCACTGTTGGCGTGAGTACCTCAGCCTGAAACAAGGTTTTCTCTTCTACCTCTTTTCTTTATTTCAGGACAGATGGGAAGTACAGTGTAAGTAAGAAGTCAAGGACCTGGAAAGTGACTTGTAATCTTTAGCTCACAAGGATTTATACATATTTACCCAATCGCTGCAAGACCTACATATGTTTAAATGTAACAGAATCTTTTTCTTTTACCTCTTGCGCTTCTTCTTATTGCCTAGTTGTTGTTGTTTTTTTTAATGGCAAACTTGCTATTGTACCCTATGGACAACATCATAACTTTAAAGTCTAACATTTGCGATGGTCCAGTACTTAATCATGGAGATACCAAAACAAACTTCCATTGTTTGCCTCCCTGTCTCTAACTACTCCTTAATACTGGACTCCTTTGCATTACCAGAATCTTCTTTTCTATAGTTACTGATCAGTTTGCGCAAACCAAAAAAACCAACATACATTTGCATACTTAGCATATCTAGCCTCCGAAACAGTTTTGTCTCTATTTATTTGCCTTAACCCTTTATAGTTCATTGTTTGGCCATGAATCTGCAACCTTATTATCTTATTTCATTTTGGTATATGTTTTTAAATTCAGGTGTGTTGCAGTCACAAGTTACAGTTGTTTTTCTTCATGTCTTTGGTCACTCACACCTACTGTTTTGTTGGGTTTTTTTGTATGCTGACCATTTCTTTTTGGTTATAGTGATTTTTAGGTACAGCTCTGGCCATATTTTGGTACACAGTTTAGGCATTAGGGAGCTAAAGAGAATCCATATGCATTTAATTTGTAACTTTTCATGGTATCAGGACACCTCAAAGATCACAAACATATGAGCTCGATCTTGGGATTTAGCGTTACAGCTTCGGATTGACTGTCTTCTGTACAGAGTTTGCCGAGGAGTATTGACGAAGCAGTCTCCTACCTGGAGAAGCGACTGCCCAGCATCACCAACCCTTATGCCGTTGCCATGACGTCATATGCGCTGGCCACTGAAAAAAAACTGAACAAGGCAGTCCTCTACCAGTTTGCCTCCTCAGGTTTTCTTTACACAACATTCCTAAAAGTGCTTTTTTTTTTTCAAAACAAATCAATGATGACAAGACAGACAGATGCAAAGATAAACAAGAGGATCGAGGAACTTGGTAGTCAGTGAAGCTTGTCACAAGTACAAAATAGTAATAAAGATTTGTGTTTGCTTGTGTGTCTTCAACAGACCAATCCCACTGGCCTGTACCTAAGGATCATATTTTCACATTGGAAGCCACAGCTTATGCTCTTCTGGCTCTCGTAAAGGTTGAGGTGAGCACATACAAGAGCTCTAATTCCTGTTAAGACTGTAAAAGAGCGAAGACGAGCATTTCTCTTGTCTATTAGGTTTTCTAAAAACAGATCAGTGCAAAATGAAGGTCAATGTATGTTTTTCACAATTACTTTTTCTATTACTTTTACACTTGTGTCATTTTCTACCAATAGCAGATTCAGTATAATAAGTACTATTTGATACTATGATTAATGAATGGAAAACAGGTTTAGATGTTCACCATCATACTTTAACATGCTATGTTCACATTTATTTATCATAAAATGGAAATCTCGCTAGTTTTTTTCAAGTTTCTGAAAGTTCTATGGTAAACTTTGACCCGATGATGGCAATAGAATAAATCTGAGTATTAGATTTAGACTGTAATATTTGTCCAGCAGAGACTTTGAAAGTCTGTTGCACATTTAACAACAACCCATCCATTATTTGCAAAAAAAAAAAATCTTTCACCTGGAATTACAAATGTCAGCTTGATTTTGGAGCTCAAGGATCAACACAGTCAGGGGGCTTCATCTTCATGAATATCTGCACAAAATTCCATTAAGAGATTCATCTATTATATCTTGAAATATTTAAGTAATTGCTAAAAAATACTACAGGTTTTACTGGCATCCTCAACACACATATATGGAGAAGTATTACCAGATCTTTGGAATGATAGTTAAAAAAAAAAAAAGAAAAAAACATTAATTTCATTTTAAAGATAAGACTTTTTGCAGGTGTATGTATAAATAATGGCTCATTCAGTCTAAAACACATTCACTTGTGTGCGTTCTCTTATGGGTACACATAAACTTTTAAGCCGCCTATTAAATGAAAGTAGCTCACTTGTTACAGGACAAAGTATATTCAGACATCTGCGTTCATTAAAATGATTTGAACGAGCTTTTCTTGCCTTCTGCTATTGAAGGCCTTTCAAGAAGCCAAACCGATTGTGCGATGGCTCAGCCAACAGCAGAAGGTGGGCGGAGGATATGGATCAACTCAGGTAACACACAACTCCCTCATCCTGGATACGTTCATGTGTGTCAAAACTTTAATTGTTTTTCTCAGCAACTCTGGGCTGAAATCAAGGACGATTGATGTGGTGTTTTTTTCAGGGCTGATATCAATTATTAATGATCAATGACACTGATAACTGATATCTGGAACTGATAATTGCATTTAAAGGTAAAATTTTGGTGTCAAAATGTAGAATGACAAAAATTCCAAACCAAAACTTCGTCAGAAATGAATTAGTTTATTTATGGTTCACGTATGTTTAATTGATTAAAAGATAGCTTTTCAACATTTATCCTTCAGAGTTGATTGACTGTATATAATTAACAACAAATCAAACAGTGCTGTGGGTTGGACTTTTCTTGACACTTTGAGGAAATTCAAGGTATCCAGTAGCTCAGGGGTGTCGAACTCTGGTCCTCGAGGGCCGCAATCCTGCATGTTTTAGATGTTTCCCTCTTCCAACACACCTGATTCAAATGATCAGCTCATCATCAAGCTCTGCAGAAGCCTGATAATGATCCTGATCATTTGAATCAGGATCATCATCAAGCTCTGCAGAAGCCTGATAATGATCCTGATCATTTGAATCAGGTGTGTTAGAAGAGGGAAACATCTAAAACTTGCAGGATTGCGGCCCTCGAGGACCAGGATTCGACACCCCTGCAGTAGCTCGTTCGTGTTGTATTCAAGAACCATAAGAAAACCAATGTACGAAAGAACTTGCAAATCATGCTGGTTGAAGAAATACGGGGCTGACATTATTGATATTTACAGTAAAGGTGCAAATGTTAATGAAGGTGCAAAAATCACAGGTATTTACAGTCATAATAGATACGTATTTCATCTGTCCATTTTTATCAGGAATCAGTGTTCAAAATACAAATAATAATAAATATGCAGGATATCAGGTTCGATAATCAACTGATGAGTGGCCTCTTGGTTATGTCTCTTCCCAGGCTACTATAATGGTGTACCAGGCTGTATCAGAGTACTGGGCCACTGCTTAAGAGCCAGAGTACGATCTGGATGTGGACATTTTGCTCCCAGGCAAGTCACTGATTGACAAGTACAACATCAACACAGAAAACCACTATTCCACTAGAACAGCTAAGGTAAGAACCCACGGTGCCTCATTAAAGCTACATTAATCAGCTTTCTGGCCATACTGAGCAGAAAAGTATTAGTATAAGCTATCAGTCTTTTTCATGTTTCAGCACCCTTGTTCCTCTACACTTCAAACTATGAATTAGAACTATTAAAACACAGTCATAGCATTTTGTATGCAGCATGACAAACAGCACTGATGAACTGATTTTGTTAGGTGCTGTACAAGTCTTGTGATAACTTGAATGATTTTAGCCGATGCTACAGCAAGCAGCGGTACCTGATGGATGCATTTGCAGAGCAGCATCTTTACATCAGCTCTGAACTTGAGGTTTATCATTTAGCTATGATAATTGACTGATATATTCAGTCATCTTTTTTAGTGATTAAATGCTTTGGTGTAGGCAAAGTATTGTTTCTAGTAGAGTGACTATCTTGTTTGCCGAAGTGTGTGGCTGAACATGATGAGCCTCATTCAAGGTACCGAATGAAGAGGCTTCAGAATCCTATAAGGCATTTCTCATTGTCTCATGCGCCAAAATGTGTAACAGCTAACTTGATCCAATGCACAAAAATGTATTTGTTTCACAACGAAAGCTGTAAAATTCTGAGATGGCTACATCTGACTTGCGAGTGTCTTTAGTGTCATTTTAAATGTTGGCCAATATAAGTTGTGTTCTTGTTCTTTATTTGGAAACATATCAAAGAAATGCTTGCTGTCGCCGTACTTTGCATTATATTTAAAGGGGCTTTCTGGTAAAAATAAAGTGTTTTACCTTGTTTACATGTCCCTATCTATGGTGTTTTTTTGTTTTTTTCTAAATATGCTACAGGACATTTTCACCCTTCTCCTTCCAGACTTCTTGTGTTTCATATGTAACAAAGCCAAAGAACCAATCCTGTCAGTTTATGGAATAGGGCTCTCTGTATCGTCCTTTTTCATTACAACATTACAACTTGCCATAGTGTAACGTAGAACAGTTTGAGCAGAGTCGTAGGTGAACCGGAGCAGCCACGAGTGGGAAGGGGTGGGTGGAGAAAGAAAGTAGGAACTATGTGGGTGGAAGTCTGCTTTTAAGAGTTAAAACAACAACCAATGAGAGAACTTAACCAACAACTTCAGCGCTTTGTGGGATATTCACAATTTTTATAAGCGGTTTTCTGCAACACGTCCCACTTGGTAACCTACAGACTGCTGCGATTCTGGTTTTAAGATTAACATCCAACAGTGACAAACCAGTCCTGAACAGAGCTGAGTTCTCAAGGATTTGTTGCCCTAAGTGACTTTTTTGCTACATTATACCTATTATACCTTACTTTAAGTGTTTAAAATATAGATTTCTCTCACTTTTGTGCTTTTGAGTTCCCAACATTCTCATATTTCAAGTGATATCTTTGTATGTGCCTGTAAATGTTTGTTTTCCCATATACCTATTTTACCTCTCAACAGTTCAACGGTATAAACAAGGATATAAAAGTGACCGCTACGGGAACAGGAGAAGCAATGTTTAGGGTAAATACAACGCTCTGTTTTGTATTGTTGCATGCTTTTTAAATCTTAGATAAGACAAAATGCAGTTTTCATTATGCAATGGAAATGTTACAGCAGACCCAGGAACATGTAGAGAACCACCAAGAATGATCCAGCAGCAGACCAAGATGCAGTGCTGACCTTCCACTGAGTCTAAAAGCAGCACAGTGTCTGTGCCAATTCTCACTGGGATTTTTTTTTGACAAGAAATGATATACACACACCACATATTTCTAGTGCAAAGCCACCTACATTACAGAACGGTGTCATGTGTCACCTGATTTTTTTTCCCACATTTTGCTAACAGCAGTGGTGTTCGGAAAGTACATTTAGTCTTATTTAGATTTTCTGAAACAATATTTAGGAGAAGAGGAGAAGAGTTACTTTTGTAAATTTAGATTTTGAATTTATCTTAGGCTGGGGCTACAAGGTGGATCGGTGGTTAGTATCGTCACCTCGCAGCTAGTAGATTCCTGGTTCACATCCCGGTGAAAACACCCGGGATCTTTCTGTGTGAGAGTTTGCATGTTCTCCCCATGCAGCGTGGGTTCTCTCCGAGTTTTCCAGCTTCCTCCCACAGTCCAAAAAACATGTTGAGGTTAATTGGTGATTCTAAATTTTCTGTAGGTGTGAATGTGAGTGTGCTTGGTTGTCTGTCTCTCTGTGTAGCCCTGTGATAGACTGGTGACCTGTCCAGGATGTCCCCTGCCTTCACCCTGAGTCAGCTGGAGGATTAAGTGGTGTATAGATAATGGGTGGATGGATGGATATATCGCTGAGTCTCCAACTATTCTCTTTCACATTTCAAGCAGCACTTTTGTCTCTGTGACAGATGGTGTCGCTGTATTATGCCCTGCCAAAGGAAAAGGAGAGCGACTGTGAGATGTTCGACTTGAATGTGCAGCTCGTTCCAGGTTGTTTTCCCACTTCCTTCCATCTCTTTCTTTCTTTTGCTGTCGGCCTTTGCTAAACTGGTCTTTAGCTCGCTTGTATTTTCTGTATTTTGCCGTTCTGAGAAGAAAAAAATAGATACAATAAACTAACACTTTATCCTGCAGTGAAAATGAGTGAGGATGAGAGGATATACAAGCTAACAATAGAAGTTATGTAAGTACCATCCAGAACTCTTACCACAAAGTGTTACAATAACATGGGTTATACAGGCATAACCACTTCTTGTTGTTAAGTTCATGCACACTCTATTTTTGATTTACTGTTGTATTTCTAATGTTTATTTTTCACTTTTAGTTTCTGTCTCTCTTGTGCCTGATTTCCAGTTCAACAGGCTGAGAATTGTTGCTGCTTTTCTAGTTCTACCTCACTTGTGTTTCCTCATTGTTAAAAATGATGAGATATTTCACAGCTTCATGAAGGCTGTTGGATCAGACATTATTAGGACTTTACCTTTTTCTCATCCGTCGTGTGCAGGTTTAAGAACAAGCAGCGCAATACAACCATGTCGATCCTGGACATCGGTTTGCCAACCGGCTTTACTTTCAACAAAGACGACCGGAAGAGCGTAAGAGCTTATATGCAGACAAATACGCAGTTACAGACCATTTCAAAACACATCAGATTTGTACTAACTAGTTATTTTTCAATACTGTGTGTTTGTGTAGTTGGCTGAAGGACGAGCCCGCACCATTGCAAAATATGAGATGGACAAAGTTCTGTCCGAAAGAGGCTCGCTCATCATCTTCCTGAACAAGGTGAAAGGATCTTTGTGGCTCCCTTCCTCAAACTGAAATAACTTTAAGTTACGTTGGCAAGAACATTGAAGATTTCTTCGTGCTTCATACTGGCCCAGCGGTGCTTTGATTTATTGAAGAACTGTAGGTACTTTAAGAGCGCCCTAATGGGAATCTTTCCCCAAAATACTTTCTCTATGTCTGAGTAAAGCTCAGTCCACCCTAATTACAAAAATGATCATAGATAGTTGTGCTTTCAAAAATGATACATTCAGCAGCAGTCTGGTTTTCCTTAGTCCAAGTTCACCATAGACTGCTTTTATTGGAACTACAGTGTATTCTTTTAGACAACATCTGTACAAAAACGTGTCAGAAGCGAAGACAGCTCTGTGTATGGTGCATTTCAGTCATTACTTTTCCTTTGTACTGCAGATTTCTAACATACGGTCAGAGGAGATCTCTTTCAGGATCCATCAGGAGATGAAAGTGGGCGTCTTGCAACCAGCTGCCGTGTCGGTCTATGAATACAATGACAGTGAGTCTCAGAGGTGCCCAATGTAAAGACATATAAACTCAAACTAACATACTTGTGCTTGTTGCATGAATATTGTCTGATCTTCCAACTCATGTGGCGCATCAATCCATGTGCAATATAACTATGGTCTTCCCAACATGTGTAATATTATACGTGTACACTACATAATACATGCAATACCTACTCCGAGTATTTATTATTTTGTGTGCTTTTTATAATGTGTATTTATCTTACTCCTGTAATGTATGTTTGTCATATAGCTTGTCATACTTATATTCTTTACCTTTTCCTTTTTGTGGGTGTTGAGAAATGCAAAAAGAATTCCGAGGTACCTGCACTGAAATGTATTCTGTATCTATTCTACTCCATACTGTACAATTAAGATATTCAATGCATATTTGCTGATGAGCTGTGATCCTGTCATCAATCAATACAAAATATTTTTCAACCTTTGGTTTTGTTGTTACAGAGAAACATTGTGTGAAGTTCTACCACCCTGAGAGGAGACATGGAGAGTTACTGAAGCTCTGTAAGGGTACAGAATGCACATGTGCCGAAGGTAAACAAAATGACATGAACTACTTGTCCAAGCGTAAATGTGTTAAATTTGGAACTCATGAAGAAACACTCAAAAAAAAAAAAAAACACACACACACATTGCATAGCCACTGTTTTTGATGACTGCAGCGATGCATCTTGGCATGCTGTCCGCCAGCTTCTGACATTGTTCTACTGTCACAGCAGCCTATTCCAGTTGCACAAATTCAAACAAATTTGTTTTATTTTTGGGCTTGTGGTTCGCCGTTTTGCGTTTGACAATTTTCCACAGGTTTTCAATTGGATTTAGATCTGGTGGTTGAGCAGGCCAAGGCATGGTGTGAATATTCTGTTTCTCCATCCAGGCTTTAACTGACCTTGCCCTGTGGCAAGGGGCATTCTCTTGTTGGAAAATCCAGTCATTGGAGGCAGGAAAAAGTTTTCCAACTGATAGAAGAAGACTGTTTTCAAGAGTAGCCCTGTATATGACCTGGGGTCCGTTTCACAAAGCTGGTTCAACAAACTCTGAGTCTAATCCTGAACTCTGAGTTCATCACCTCTGAGATAGGAAACTCAAGGTATCCAGTAGCCTGGAAGGAGTTTCCGGTTCCAGAACAGCGGATTTGATTTAGTTAATCAACTCAGAGTAGTTTCACCTGGAGTTAAGCGCGTGCACCACAACTATAAAAAGCCAGCATCGATTGGGCCCCGATTCGACGAGTCAATGGGGAAGCGAAGGGCTGCGTTTTTCACCCCACTAGAATTGGAACTCTTAATGCGCTCATACGGCGAGTTTGAACAACGCAGCCCTCCGCTTCCCCGTTGCCATGGTGTCTCTTTTCCAGTAAAGAAAAGCCAAAATTGACAATAGGCACTCAAATAACTAGACATTTAAAAAAGTAATAATAAATAAAAATTGCTAAATTATAAAATGCTTTTTTGTTGTGGTTGAAAAGAACAATTAAAAAAAAAACAAAAAAAACAAAAAACGGATAAACAAAATATGGCAGCAAGGGTTCCAAAAACGATAGAATACTTGAATGTTCAAAAAGTAGAAAAATGTAATTTGCCGCAAATCCTGTAAAATATTATTTTTAACTGTTCAAGTTGAACGTCTCTAAAATTTCTTTATTTTTTGACAAGGGACTGCTGAATTCCTGCCAGGTTGGCCAGTACAGTTTCAGTAGCAGCGCGGTGAGGAGTGTTCACAAATCCTCCTCTGCGTCTGCTCTGGTAGTTGTTCTGGGCCATGATGTTTGAAACAGAAGATCTGCAGAAACAGAGCAGTTGATGGTTGTTAAGATAAGATGAGATGAGATAAAATACGATATATTGAAATAAGATACAATAAAATTAGATGAGAAATGATAAGATATGATAAGAGTTAGATAAGATACAATAAAATAGGACAAGAAACAATAAAATATGATAAAAAAATAAGATGAGCTAAGATAAGATGAAATAAGATATCACAAGATACAATAAAGATACAACAAAATAAGACGAGAAACAACAAGATACAATAAAGTAAGATACGATGAGATAAGATTCAGTACAATAAGATAAGACAACATAAGATAAAATAAGACAAGATAAAACATGATACAATAAAATGAGATGAGATACAATAAAATAAGATACCATAAGCTAAGCTAAGATACAGTAAAATAAGATACATTAAGACAAGCAAAGATAAGATACAATAAGATAAGATAAGATAAAACCTCATTAATCCTGAAGAAAATTCTTACCACCTACTGCAGGCTGTTTGTAAAGATGATGACTTCCTTCCTTTCCTTCTGGTTATCGGTTGTGTTGGATAGACTTCTAACGCTGATTAGATTATTATTATTATTATGCCAGTTTCTCCGGGTGTGTAACAGTCATATCTGTATGCCAAGTTCTAGAACTCTGCCGTTCATATTTTCTACTGAACCACAAGTCTGATTTTGTACACATATTTATTGGCGTATGTCGACAACCTGATCTGCTTCAAACATAGCAGGTGCATCGCTGGTCACCTCTGGAAGCAGACTGTCAAGTTTAAAGCAGATCTGATAACCAGACACACCAATATTTAGCTTCCAGGATGCAGAACATATCTTAATTTGGGTGTTGGAAGAAAATAATTGCATTTCCACTCTTTATTGTAACAGTCAGGGTAGTTTTAAAAGTCTCTAACCATTAACATAAATAATTTTAAGTATTTTACTTTGCCAAATTTCAGGTTGCATTCATTGCACAGTAAAAACAAACAAAAAAAAATCAAATGAAAAAGTCATATCAAACTGTATGAGATTACAGCAAAAGAGAGATTTTATTGTTATTATTTTATCATGTGTGATTTTAGGGACAGTGAAGATCCAGTTCTTGGGGTATGTGGAGCAATTTAACAAAATAGTTGTTTCTGTTACCAAAGCCGCATGAATTACAGATGAGAAGCACTTCACCTGTCACCAAATAGTTGCACCGATAATGCAAAATGATGATGTTTGATAACACAGTGTCCAAATCTGTGAGTTTTGCCAGAGTGAATCCTTAACACAGAATACGGAATAAACAGTATAAACGAAGGTTAGAACGACATGCATTCATACATGTATGCTTGTAGCAAACAAAGCTACTTATTGATTTATCAAATGCGCATTCCCATTTTGACTTCCAGAAAACTGCAGTATGCAGCGAAAGGAACAAATCAGCAACGACGACCGTTCTGCAAAGGCTTGTGAAATCACAGACGCCGGGAAAATAGATTTTGGTAAGAGTGAGTGACTAGAATGAACGAATGACTGAGTAAGCAACTGAACTGACACCCTGCGACTTGTCTCCCCTCAGTTTACAAAGTAGGAGTGGAAAACTTTAAAGACGGTTTGACCACTGACATCTACGGAGTGCGTGTGCTGGAAGTCATTAAGGAAGGTGGGTGCAAATCTTTTCTTTATGGTCATTTTTCCTCCCTCTAGTGTTTCTATGTAGAAATCTTAGCATTTTCAATACCAGTAAGAAACAATTCATCTCTAGGAATGTTGTGCTATTATGAAGAAGTTACAGTACATAGTGTTGCTCCTCACCAGGAGGGTGTTGGGTCTTTATCTCATTTGAGTAGCCCAAAGTTTAATTTTAAAAAAGGCTGTATGTGTATAACATCTATTTCCCAGATTATCTTTTTAACCAAACAGTAAAAAGTCGTAACTGTTTATACACGATTTCAATATGTTGTTGAGTGCAGCAGCAATACCTTCATAAAGTCACTAATTTCTCAGGTATTCTCTCATCCTACCTTACATTTCAATCACAGGGAGTACTGATGTGGGTGCACAAAATCAACTGCGCACATTTCTCAGTTATCAGCACTGCAGAGAGGCTCTGGATCTGAAAACAAATAACACCTACCTTATAATGGGCACCTCCAAAGATATTCACGCAACCAGCGTCACAGCATCAGGCGGCCAGCAAAACTCGTGAGTCTGTTTTTACAGTTTCCCTGCTTTCTGTTACTGCACATACTGTACCTTTCCCACACTGTCTGATGTGCTGGTGCTTCCGAGTTACACGACCAGTGCAAAGTGGACGGTCTTGCATGCACACACTTCTTTTTTGGTCATGTGCTGTAGGTGCGGCAGAAAGACAGGTGAGTGATGGAGAACATTACAGCATTACCTATAATACTTCAGAATTTAAAAATGCATGCAACATGTTATAGACCGTAGAATACCTCTATGAAGACCTAATGCATTTTCCACTTTGTTTGCTCAGATTCCAGTATGTGCTTGGTGAGAGAACCTGGATCGAGTACTGGCCCACTGTTGCGGAGTGCCAGACCCAAGAATACCGACCCACCTGTTTAGGCATAGAGGAAATGGTCGAGGTGTACACAGTGTTTGGATGTCCGCAGAAGTGAAACAAAATAAAATGCCTTGACTGTTTTTTTATTTTACATTTTTCCTATTATGTAAATCACTGATTGCATACTGAGATGGGATGCAGAAGTCCTAATATTATAATACATTCTGCTGAATTTAACTGTCTTTGTCTTTATTGCGCTCTCTTTGCCTTACACAAAGTTGCCAAATGGGGGAATTATTATTATTGTTGTTTTTTATCTTGTTAACATGTCCATATGGTGTTTTTTTAATTTTTAATATGCTAGTAGAAACATCATGATTAAAATAAGCCGTCAGCATCATGGTTGACCAGTTCCACCTTGAAACTTCTGTGCACCAATGACAAAAACACAGGTTCAGACTTCTGGAGTTTAATGCGTCACGGACTTAAGGAACCAATCCTGTCATCTAGTGGGGTGGTGCTTTCTGTATCATTATTCTTTAGAATCAGTTGTCAAGTAGCCATTGTGTCATGTAGTGTAGCAGGTGAGCTGCTGTGCTTGAGCTGCAGCGAGTGGTGGAGGGGTGAGTGGAGAGAGAGGTGGCAACTTCATAGATCTTCACATTCTAGAACAATAAACTTCTGCACGGGTAATTTTGGTGCACGGACGGGAGTTTTTAGCTTTTTAATCAGTGACTGGGGAGCATCTTTAAATCTATAGGGTTTGCATCCAGGCAGATTAAAGCAGCAACCAGATGGAAGAAACTTGGACCTCCTGAAGGGGTGATTGGGGTAAGCAAGGTTGGATTGGGTCTTCTTTGTAATTCTGGCTTCATACAGTTGGGAGAGGATGTTCTGATCAGTTCCTGCAATTTTGCTGTACATTATTAACAGTTCCCTCTATCCAAAGTGTAAGCCACCCAAATGAGCGATAGAAGAGAACATTACAACAGATTCAATAAAACGAGCATTGTTAAACTCTTATCAATATATGCAAACTTATGTTACTTGTGTGTAGCTTATCTGGTATTAGCCATTTTCAAGCCATGCACATCTTCTGGGTTTGCTTCCCTTGATGATATAAAATACGTATAAAAAGCATTCGTTTTACCCTCTACTTTTACAAGCCTTCTAGAGCCTACTGCAGAGTAGCATCAAGCCCGCAACATGATGATGCCATCACCATGCTTCACAGTGGGCATGGTGTGTTTGTGATGATGTGCAGCAATTCATGTTGCCAAACATAGCGTCTAGTCCAGGGGTTGGCAACCAACGGCTCTTTCGTTCCTCTGCTGCAGCTCCTTGTGGCTTTGGAAAAATAAATAATGAGCATTTAATTTAAATGTCTTTTATTTTAGTTTGTTACTTTTTAAAATGTAATTCTAAATTAGAAGATGATGGTGATCTTATAACGTTAAAATAAAACACGTTTAACTTGTTTGTCGCTCAAAATATGCGTCACAACTGCCGATGTGTGACACCTGCCGACACACGCAGTGTTGCCAACTTGGTGGTGTTCTCCCTAAATCTGGCAACTTTCCAAATCCTCTTGACCACTTTTTTTTTTTTTTTTTTGTCAAAAGCAACTAGCAACAAATCTATTGACTCTTTCTGCTGTTATTGGAGACTTTTCTGGTGTTTTGGAGACTCTGACGTGAAGACATGTATCGTTCTGCAGTTGCTGTCCTCAGCGAGCAGCAGCACTGCCGTGAGCTCCTCCCATCCCAAAGCGCTCACAGGTAGTCAGGAGTCTGGTCAGCAGTCTCAGCTGCAGTCAGCAGGACAACTAGGCATCATTTTTACTTCACTGCAGGTGGATAATTTAAGTTCAGCTTTTTATTTCATAAATACAAGGAGGACTCAAATAGACATTGAGTACTTTATTTGAAAGTAACCTTGAACCCAGCTGGGGTTTTTTTCGGAGTTCAAAATGTTTTTGTTCCATGCAGAAATACATTTTGGTTTTCTCTGTAGCAGTGCATTGATTTCATAAAGGCAACACACTATAGTTTTTCTTATACATAGCATAAAGTTTTTAAAAAATGCAGTGTTATCTTCATTTTAGATGTCAAAAGGGTTTTGTGACTCCTGGTGTTTTCTTTTCCATGGTCTAGTCTGATGGCCAGAAAACTCATCAGACTAAATAGCCTTCTTCCAGTTGATTCCAGAGTCTCCCATATGCCTTCTGGCAAACTGTAGTTAAGATTTAATATGAGGATTTTTTTATTTATTTTTTTAACTGTACTTTTTTCTTTGTAACTCTCCAAGGAAAAATTTAAAAATTCTTTAAAAACTTGCAAAGGGGGTAAATACCTTTTATAGGCACTGAATCTGGTTTGTAAGCCACCCCTATCAGATAATAAATAAGACTGTGAGACTGTAGGGAGGAGAAGCAGGAGGAGGGAGGCAGGTGCATGAAAGAAGTGCTGCAGAGCAGTACAGTAATGGCAGATATGGGATCAGGCAGGAGGATGGACCAGACGCAGCTTTGGCTGTTGGCCTCTCTGGCGTTTTTCTCTGTGATTTCTCACACTCGTGGATCCCCACTGTAAGTAGACTTGCCTTACAGTACCTTCTTCCCTGAATGCCTGTTGATAGATAAAAAATGAAAGGGTCAAAACTCCCTGTTGTCTTTACAATTGCATTTTAAACTAATGTCACTTATCCTTATTTCTGACGTGTTTATTAATATTACCCAGTATCTACTGCACGGTCTGCACTCCTCACTATCAGTGGATCATTACACAACTGAAGCAAAGATGTGTGCAAAAAACAGAACAAAAAAGACACAAACAAGCAAAACTAACTGTGTTAAAACTTGAAAATTGCTAGATACTGTTTAATTGGCTAAATGTTATTGGAAATACTGCTAAAAAAATGTCTTTAAAAAGTCTTCCTGCATGATATACCAACCATATGCGGAAAGTTTAAAAAAAAAAAAAAAGTTCTACAGCAGTTTAAAAAAAATATAATGAGAGTCATAATAAGACAAAGGATTACTTGCATTTGCAATCAACTTTAGCGTT